TGGAGTATTTGGTCAAAGTTGCTGATAAAGAGAGAAACCGAGTACCAAGTTCCTATTGGTAAGCTATCTACTTTACGCTTTACTCTTCACTTCATTTACATTATTTGTATATTAAATTACTTCAATATGATGGTAAAAAAATCATATCGCAAGCCCTTAATCTTATAACGAGGTTTGCAGGCGGACAGAATCTAGTCTGTGCAGAAAAGATGGGCGCAGCAACACCCCCACTGTCCAAGATCCCCATAGCACTGTCACACCAGGTACAGCCTTTGTTGAAACCTGCAAACCCCTGTAGTCGGAGTGACGATAGCACGTCCAGTCATGCCGTTGGTGAAAAATAAAGCACGAGAGAAACGCGCTACCTTTAACACCATCTTATAGAAAGGAAACCACTCAGTCGTCAACGAAGAGCAAACCTCTGACGACTGTAGTGTTTGCAAAGAATCGGTGTCAGAGGTTTAAAAAGCCTTTGCATGCAACGTTTGTCTTAGATGGATGCACTGTAATTGTGATAATGGTTTGCCAGGGTAGTACTGAAGCTTTATGAGGAAATACCCGTGTAAATGTATGTGGTATATATACCTGGAGTGTCGGAAATCACCTGCTATCACCACCGGCTAACTGAAAATCCTGGTACAGTCAAACGTGTTACATATCAGGAACTCCAATAATCTTCCCTCACAAACTAGTCAAGCTCTACTAGTGTGCAAAAGTGCCATCCCTAGGGATAGGAAGAAATTGGCTCCCACTCCAAGTGATGCACCAAAAGAGTATCGCTGCAACCCAGACGATTCAACGGAACTGAACAACCTGAGGAAATAGGTTGCTCTGAGAAAGAATTAAAGGAAGTGAATCGGGTAAAGGGGTAGACTGAAAGCACTGATTACTAAGCCCAATATTCCGCATTCACAGGACAGGAGAACGGATTCCATCATTCTTTCCAACTTATCTGTGCCAACAGACTCACTCTTAGAAAAAAGAGAACAGCCTGACAAGAAGTGGGACGACTACTGCAGAAAGTTGAGAATGGAAACCATCGCAGCCAACTTATGCCGGCGCTCTCGAGGAAGTAGAGCACCTCGAGACAAGCCGCCACCTCTCAGGGTATCAGCAATGACAGCGAAAAAGTCGGAGAACATACTGCTGCTGTCACGCTGACCAGACTTTGCAGACTTCTGCCCAATAAGGCTGAAACTAGACAAACCATAGGTCACCAAGGCGGCGGAGGGAAAGTCATCACTTAGTGGTCTGCACAGATCTGCAACCACGGTGGTGCATAGAATACCCGAACTGGTGGGTGGATCCACAAAGTGTGATAATTACTTCCATGATGTCAAGTAGTGGAGGTGGTTAGTGGCAAAAATGGGACTTGGAAATTTGCCTGCCAGCAGCGTAAGTAGGTTACCAAGACCTACGCACTTGCAGGAAATTTCCTCACCAAGATTGCTAACTGTGCGCTTTGACTGCAAAACATCACTAACAGAAGCTCTAACAGCATGGTACCGTGTCAAAGACCACATAGGAGGTGCTATTTGATGCTGTGAGAGCAAACCACTAGCTGCCAGACTAGAAAATAGGAGGCAACCTCCGAGAACACTACAAGCAGTGCTTGTCAGATAAGAAGCTAGTGAACCACCTGTAGACACAATAAACAATACCATCACACCAGCAGCAGGATGTCTAGAGGGACCAAAGAACGGAGGTCTGCCAGTCCAGTAGGTGCTGGCAGTCAGAATCCGATGCGACGCCACACCAGCCCCCAAACAAGTCCCCATATCTCACTAAGCCCAGAACGTAGCTCCTTGACATCCTTCTACAGCAATAAAAGAGGCCTTGGTTGTATTGTGTTCTCTGAGCTGGGTTGTTTAATCGTGAAGCTTCCATCGTCTTGCTAGACGACATCATCAGCACTAACTTCAGTATGAAGTGAGCTGTCAATATCTCTCCGTGAGTGATTTAGTGGCTTGCTCTGACGATATGGTCTGTGATTGGTTGTATTGTATTGATTGTATAGACTTTCCTGTTGGCTGTTCTTCTGCTTCACCTCTGACCTTTCTGTCGTTTTTCATTTTTCTTATTGGTTGATAGATCGGGTCTATGTCTATACATCTGTTGATTACTGACTGACCTGAATGCCAAGCTTCTAGGAATTCTCTGACATTCTTTGTGTTTCCTCTCTCCGTCCAAAATTTCCACATTGTCGAAATTGAATTCATGTCCATGATTATCCACGTGCATTGAAATGAGTGACGAAATTTCGTGGTGTTTAATAGCTAATTGGTGCTCATGTAGACGAAGGCGAAGAGGGTGGCCACTTTGTCCAATGTAGTGTTGACTACAGTGATTGCAGTTGATTTTGTAAATGGTATTCGGTTTGTCTTCTTTGCTTGTTGCATCCTTTGGTCTGCATAGTTAGGGGTTGGAGGTAATTTGTTGGTTTATGAGCCACACCAATTCCAAGTGGTCTCAGTAATCTTGTCGTGATTTCTGTTGTATTCTTTATGTATGGTAGGATGATGCATTTATTGATTTCTGTCGATAACCTTGTAGTTGATGATGTACGGGATAGGTATCTTCTGATAAAGTTTCTTGGGTAGCCGTTGCTCTTTAGGATAGATACCATGTACTTTTCTTCGTTTCTCCGTGAAGTTGTTGTACTGCAGTGTATCCTCGCTCTTCTGAACAGAGTCTGCATGCAACTGATTTTGTGTGTCGTTGTGTTGTTGCTATTGTAGTTGAGGATTTGGTCAGTGTGTGTTGGCTTCCTGTACACTTGGGTTTCCAGCTTTCTGGTATTTGTCCTACTGACTAAAACATCCAGGAATGGTAGTTGGTTGTTTGACTCTTTCTCCATTGTGAATTTGATGCCATTGAAAACGTTGTTGATCAAACTGTGGATGTTTTCTATATCATCTTTTTTAATGATGACAAAAGTGTCGGCCACATAGCGAATCCAAATTTTCGGTTTGATCACATGTAGAATAATGGCTTGAGGATAGACGAGGAAACCTGCACGGGGTGGTCGCTTATGAGTGCTAAAAACAGGGGTGGCCAAAGGATCGCTCCTTGAGAGACTTTTGTGCCTGCACTCCTCTAAGCTGATTGAATTCTGCGTACTTTTTGTACAGAATTCTCTGTCCTCCAGATATACTGTAAACCATGTTATGAGTCGTTCACCGAGGCCCACTTTTCTGAGTTTAGGAAGCATGTTTTTGTGTAGGATGCCGTCAAATGCTCTGACTAGGTCCAAAACGCTAACATGGACTGATTGCTTGTTGTCCCATCTACCAGTCCAGTCGTCTCAAGCAGTCATCAAGTTTGTGGCATATGGCCCTCCACTTCTGGAGCCATGTTGGATAATGTTATTTCTTTTTAGATAGATCCAAACAACATCTGCAGTTTGCCTTTCCAGTACCCTCAATAGTATGAGCAGTAACGCTATTGGTCTGTATTTGCTCGGGTTATTTCGGTCTCCTCAATCAGAGAGTGGCGAAAAAATAATGTGCTTCCATTCCTAGGGAGGTTGACTTACTTCCAACGAGTGCGCAAACAGATTGCATATGGGCATACGTAGCACTTTGGCACAATTTCGGAGGACCATCGGTTTTATGTAGTTACAGCCCGGAGATTTTTGTAGTCTGATTGCATAGTTTTACAAACACTTGGTTTGACAAAACCTTTACGTCCATCAGCTTTGCATCATGGTCCTGGAACTCTCTTACGTTAAGGGATGGACTACTGTGTTGAGCTGTTCATCAGATCGGTTGCTCAACAGTTCCGTTATCACTAGACCACTCAAAACTCCACTGTTCTATCATATTATCAGTTGAGACCTTTATTGGTTGCTTTTTATCTTTGCCATAGGTCGATATAAACCTTTTGGGTTGTAATTGTTCAGCCAAGTTACTCTAATATTCGAACCTGTCATTGCAAACGTTTATGTTACGTGGGTTGAATAACCCTAGGTAGCTGAGAAATTCCGATTCTTTACGGGATGTGCGGCACTTTTACCACGCTGTCGTTTTTTCTCCTGCATTTGTCTTTGGGTCATGGGAGTCACCCGAGCGCGTTTTAAAGGTGGATGTCTGCTTACTTTCAGCAAACTCCTTGCGAAGGTGTTTCAGGTATCCTTCACATCTATGCAGTCTTCATCTGTAGAAACAGAATGCCTTTCTCTTGGCCATGTTCAATACAATTATGCAATAATACCTATGAATTTCTCATTTTTAAGACATACCAACAGACTTACGCTTAGTCAATTCATTCTTCTTAATGACAGACTGAAACAACGCCCCAACGTCTTGATATAGCGCAGCGCACATCTAGTTCACTCCTACTCTTGAAATGCTTCTACAAGCATTTTGCAACTTGATGGCGCGTAGCACGCACCACACTTCTGGACGCTGATCACTAACGGATTGAATGTGCTTGAAGTAGTTAAAGGAGATCATTTGTGTACTTGACAGCAAAAAACTCATCTAGCAAGTACACACCATCACCAAGCACTTCGTCCACAGCTGTTTCGAGAATGTCATCTATGACGTGGTTAAAGAGGAAGTGAGAAAGCGGACGGCCCCACTTAACCCACTGTTGCTTTGGAATAGTAAGGATAGGTGATTGTTTGGCTGCACTCCAAGTGAAAAGAGAGCCAAACGAACTCAACGTTGAAACTTACAGGGGTGCGTCGATCCAAGTTACGACACTTCACTGCACCATGCAAAGAGCAAGGGGATAGAATAAGGCAGATATATGGAAATAGACAAAAATGTATGGGAGAGAGTCTTGAAAACATTTAAAAGTTCACTCCTAATTCAGTCTTTATATATATGTATGTTCTATCGTTAGTTATATTTTTTATCGTAGTTTGGCTGACGATTGTATACTACAAAAATCTATGTGTGTTAATCTATTTCCCCCTGATATTTTCGTACTTGTGAATTGTCGCAAATTATTTTCATTTTCGTTTCAGACAAATTATAGCCATTCCCTGGAGAGATATGTTACGCTTAATCGTCATTGACAAACAGTTGCGTATGCTACGCCCACATGAAAACTACACATCGTTCTCTTACTATCAGTTGTTGTGTATGGTGGCAAAATCTGTTGTAAATAAACTTTGTGGTCTACATCACGGTGACTTTATATCCGTTGTAAGTTTTCAGTACATATTTGTGTTTTTTTTTACAACACCTGTATAAATGAATGAATGAATTGATGATATACATTGATTAGTTACTGAATAGTAACCTATTTCGTTCTGTGTAGTCCTAGATGTTTATCGAATCCTGTCAATCATTTTGTAATATGGTCCTAAAGCTAATGGGATTTCTATCCGCTCGAGGTTACCTTACTGACAAGTGCTGCCAAGCACGAAATCTAGGTCAGGCAGGACTTCCTACCGGTCCAATCAAAGTGCACTGCAATGGTGATTAGTTTTCTGGTTTGGTGACGACATTGCAAAGCGATCGACAGAATTCGGTTATCACTTAGGACTACGCAACGTAAACAGTTTTACACTCAAGAGACCAGTCAGTGCTGATCACTCAGTCCTCTGGAAAATCAGTTGCAGTCTGAATAGCTCAGTTGTGACGTCTCTGATTGTAACAACAAGAGCTAGGGTCTCTGGGGGGGGGGGCAGTCAGTCCCCTCAACGTTGCAAATACATCTTACCGACCTGTACTAGCAAGCGCAAAACCTGGGTACAGAACTTACTACCAATTCCTTCCAACTATACAATATTGTATTAGTGTTAAATAGTGTGTTGCATTTCTGTTATTTCTATAAAATAAATATCGACCTTCTGTGTCCTCCGATTCGATTAGTTTGCCAATGCACACTTCGGCGTCTTGTCTCTGTGTGTCCTTAAGATCGAGCTTAGTTAACAAATCAAGTAGTTGATTCTCTTCACACCATATAATAAATATGTCCTAGTATCCATCACTCCAGTTATCCTAAATGTAAGAAATATTCAATCATGGGTTTCTCCAGAGTATTGGTTCTACCAGTCATGGTGTTGTGCTATATCAAGTACTGAGTAAATTAGGTGAGTAAACAAAAGTTTCTTACAGCATTCACTTCAGTAGGTTAAATCCATTTTATGTATACTAAACTAATTACATATTTGTTAAGGATTTTCTTAATTGTCCGTTGAAGTGAACGTCTCATTGGGTTTATGTGATCACATTGTCTACTCTTCAGAGTTAGGTGTCTTGGTTGTATTGTGTTCTCTGAGCTGGTTTTTTTTTAGTTGGGAAGCTTTCATCGTCTTTATAGACGACATCATCAGCACTAACTTCGTACCCAGCCCAGAAAACGCAATAAAACCAAGACCATCTACCTGAGCTACAAGTATTCTCCACCATTTCAGAGTTAGGTGTTAATCAGCAGGAAGGCATTATTCAGCGTAGGCTTCATGTTTCTCAGCACTCATCATTCAGGCATTAGATTTGTTTCTTTGATGTACAGACAGTTCACAATAATACAGTATTGTCTACTGGGTGATTTTTTAAGCATAATCCTGAAATGAAATACGGAGTGAGACCGGTCAGAGAAGGTTGTATCTCATTTTCATATGCTAGCCAACGTTGTAATTAATCTAGCTGCTAATCCTCGACCATTATCTTTGAATCCCTCCTCTACTAGGTCGTTTAGCGCCGCTTCCCTTCTTCGTTTCAGATTACTTATAGCCTTCTGAATTTCGTTAAGTGTTGGGGTCCTTATCTCGACTTTCCATTCAGGGTTCGACGCGGTAGCGGGCAACCGAATGGTGGCTGCAGGCCATTTGAGCTGTTCCACAAAGTGTTCCGCCCCTCTTTCCAGTTGTCTATTCTGCAAGTGAATCACAGACCCATCCTTCTTAATCGTCTCACTAACCAATGACCTTTCTGCCCCCACTTTATTCCATAATTTTAAACAGATATCTATTGTTACCTATCACTGTAACCTCTTTGTCCTTCACCACACGCTACTGCTCTCACTTATCGTGTAGAATCTTTGTCAGCATATCTGAGTTCCTTCTGCTTTTCGTTGTGCTCGGAGCCTACAGAAAATCAATGGAACTGCATTTACGAAATCAAATGTGCAGTTTGTACAATGGTATATGTAGGGGAGACATCCAGGTAGGTAAATGTGAGAGCGAAGGAGCATAAACTATGCCTAAAGGAGATTTAGAAAACATCAGCAGAGGTTAAAAAGCTAGAAAACAAATCAGCAATCGTGCTACACTCCATAGAAATGGGTCACAAAGTTGACGGAACCAAGATTCTACAATATATATATATATATATATATATATATATATATATATATATATATATATATATATATATATATATATATATATATATATATATATATAGGGTTTCGGTTGTCAGTCTTCCTTGATGTGACCCGAAAGCTATTTTGTAGAACCTTGGTTCCGTCAACGACCGATAGCTGCTACCTTGACGTGGTGGTCGGACTTGCATATCACAATGACCCAACCAGCTATGCTTGTGGAACACTTGTTCCCTCGAGGTCTTACCATACTAGAAAGGTTTGTTGGATAGTAGTTAGGCGAAACGCAGTTACCCTTATGGTGTAAATTGCTACACTATGATGGAGGGTCTGAGGGCGAAGTCATACTGCTGCTAGCTGGATGTGGTGTAACAACAGTAAGGTATTTCCCTTAGGTAACCAGCAGTGTCATGCTGATGCTGCCTTCTCGGTGGAAGGGAGGATTAGAAAGGGTCGTCCCCAAAATAACGCACTCCACCACGCCCCACTGTCTGCCGGGCCGGCGGTGTTGGTTTATTTACCGTTTCTTTCCGACCATCCGGCCCCTAAATAACAAAAGTTCAAAACAACCATGCACAAAAGGCTGAGTGTGACAGGCCTCAAGCAGATGTCCGATGGGCTCTGCAGTCACACAAATCTCTTCCAGGCACCTTAAGAAGAAATAACCTTCCACGCTGTGGGCAGCCGGGAAGTGTCAACCGTCCTCACAACTCTATCAGCACTCAAGTTTCTTCAGACTGCTATCCACCTCCTTCATCATTACCTTCTAATCTTCCCTCACGTCTGTCAACTAACGATGCTACATCATCTTTAATTTCTCCTAGCTTTGTAGCCTTCAGCAACAATCTGAGTCCACAAAACAACATCCCTGGTCTCCTTAAACTACGCTCCAAATTACATATTGCAGCCTTCAATGTCCGCACCCTCCGTCAAATTGGTCAACAGGCTTCGTTGGCAAAGACTCCAGCAACTCGGGCCGTCGATGTGTGCTGTGTCTATGAGACACGCATACAGGACCCAAGTGCGGTTATTCACCTAACCTCTCCTGACCAATCTAGTGAATCCGCAAAATTAACCCTTCGAGTTTCTGGAGATTCGATAGCTAGCTCTCGGGGTCTTGCAGGCGTAGGCATAGCATTAAGCACTAGGGCAGAAAACTCACCACTAGACTGAATCCCAGTTGATAGTCGCCTCTGTGCTATGCAACTGAGTGACACCGTGAGAACTAAAAAGAATAGTGAAACTCGCCGCTGTCTCTTTGTAATCTCTGCTTACGCGCCCACTGACTGCAGTTCGGATGCAGTGAAGGACGAGTCCTACCGAGAACTGTCTAGCCTCATTTCGAAAGCCAAACGCTCAGACAAGGTAGTTGTTGCAGATGATTTCAATGCACAGGTGGGTAGACTGAGTGAGGCAGAAAGGCACTTAATCCCGGCTGAACGAACAGATAACGGTGATTGCCTACTACAACTGTGCTCAGATAACCGCTTATTTTTAGTTAGCACAAATTCCAGACATAAAGACACTGTCTAACGTGGCGTCCACCGAGTTCAACTCAGCGATGGACACAGACAAACCACATTGCTATTAGTCATCGCTGGAGAGGATCGGTGGAGGACTGCCGCTCCTTCGGGAGTACGTATTTGGGCAGCGACCACGCGTTGGCCCGAGGGTGTGTATATGCCTGTGTCTCAATGGACGTTGGAAAAATTTGGCAACAAAACCACTGCGAGTGCAGCTCGACAAAGAAAACACCAAAGCCGTTTTCAGTGAAAAGTTGGCTAGACAATTATCGGAACAGAAGATTATCACTCATCCAGAAGAAGCTTGGTGCCATCTCCAGTCTGCTGTAAAAGCAACGCTGAAGACCGTAGCCGACTCCGAAAGAGTGGCTAAAAAGAGTCAGTGGACGTATCCCTGCAGGCTCTGAGTACAATGAAGAGTGAGCGCAACTTAAAAGTAGATTGAGAAAACGTCTACGCAACGATCACGAACAGTGGTGGGCAGCAAAGGCTGAAGAGATGGGAAAGGCAGTGGCGATCGGTAATAGTAGACAGTTATTTAGACTTATTAAGGAAACTGGGGGGAAAAGGTCAACTGCGGTTAGTGAGACCATAGCGGAGAAGGACGGATCTGCGATTCACTCGCAAGGGAGATGATTGGAACAATGGGCAGAACACTTCGAGGATCAGTTTAACTGGCCTCCAGCCACCATTGAGTTGCCCGCTATCCAGTCGGATCCTGAATGGGACATAGAGCTAGATCCACCAACACTAGAAGAAGTTGAGAAAGCGGTAGGTAACCTGAAACGAGGAAGAGCAGCAGGACCAGACGGACTACCTGCTGAGGTATACAAAAATGGTGGTGCAGTGCTCTTAGTCAGGTTAATGGAAGTGTTAGCTAGTATATGGGAATTAAATATGATCCCCTCTGACTGGTCTAAGTCACTGATTATCCTAGTCTTCAAGAAAGACGAGAAGTCCTTTTGTGATAACCACAGAGCAATCAGCCTGACGAACATAATGTCTAAGATCCTAGGTTCTATAATTCTCCGACTCCTGAATGGAGCTCGGGAACAGCAAGCCCGAGAAAACCAAGCAGGCTTTAGACCCGGCCGCAGGTGTATCGACCAAATATTCACACTGCGCCAGGTCCTGGAAAATAGGCACGCCTACCGACGCCCGACAATAGCTGTATTTCTCGGCTCCGTTAATCGAGAAGTCTTATGGCAATATCTGTCACCTAAACACGTGCCGAGCAAGTACATCACCTTATTGAAGACTCTCTACTCGAACACTTGTGGGCGTTTTCCAGCCTATGGTGAGATATCCGAGGAGCTGTACTCGTCGAGTGGTGTCCGTCAAGGGTGCCCACT